AGGTATGTGGCTCATCCACTTTCCGTTTGCTGACCTACTTTAATTTTCGGCATTAATTGTAAATGGAAGGAAATTTCCGTAACAGTTTTCTCAGCAACTACATATCACAGCCTCTTGATATTTGGTTTTGTGACTGCATTAACACGTGCACACTCCCAAGTTCAGGTCTATCGCTTATCCACTTCCTGTTTACCTACTTCGTTAAATGTTCGCATTAATGGTCAATGGTAGGAAATTTTTGTAACATTACAGCCTCATGAGTCATGTTATTTGGTATGCAAATGCAACCCGGCCATTTTTGTCTTTGACCCACTTTTATTGAAGTATTATCCAAATTTGTACTTCGTCTTGTTAATTATGATGGCATTTTTAAAATTTTCATGATGTAAACACGCTACAGGGAGTGTATTTTTTTGCAACCTGTACTTTAAAGAAATGAAAAAAAGGGGTATTTCTATACACTTGTTTGCATTCCTGTTGCTGTCGGCCAAATATACATTTGATACTAACCTTTAAATGACATAAAAGAATTTTATAAACCTGTTGCTTGTTTTTAAAAAGAAAAATACTTATCAGATCTATTCCTTAAGGTGAGCAATATAGGGCCATCATGGCCCTCTTGTTTTTATTTCTTAAGGTGTCAAATTCAAACTTAAAATGTAATTATATTCCTTACACATCGTAACTCTACCACTATTTTTATGCCACTGCAGTATGATGGCATATAGCGATTCACCTGTGTGTGTGTGTGTGTTATATAGATTATATAGTGAACTTAAAAAAATCTTCCTGTGAAAAACCACTTGTCCAACTAAACTTGGCAGGATTGTTCCTTGGATGAAGAGCGTCTTAAGTTTTTCAAAGAATTTGATTCCATGCAGAAATCTGGTTGCCATGGCAACCAAAGGAATGATAAGAGTCAATTTAAAAAAATCTTCTTGTAAAGACCCACACGGCCTAAAGCTTAGATATTATGCATAAGGCACTGTCTAATAGACCTCTACCAAGATTGTTCAAATTATAGCCCTGGGGTCATTGATTTTCAGTAGGTACACATAGTTAAAACTTAAAAATCTTCAGTTCTGAAGGTACAAGCTTAGAGCTTTGATATTTGATATACAGTCAAGACTGTCATATGTGACTTTCCAAGGGACTTTCAGAAAAAGAGTCTAAAAGAAAATTAAAATTTAAATACCATCTATATACCATTGTGGCTTAACATACATAACTGTGTAAAGGAACAATATTTAACCAATTGCAAATAAATATAGGTACTTTAAAGCTGCTTGCCTCCAGATGAACCAAAATATCAAGAAAATCAAACTAGAAAATAAGGTATTGAAATTTTAAGAAAAGTAAAAAGGTTCTAAATAAAAATTATAATTTCCATGTTATGTGCGATTTATGACCAATTTTGCAGTATTTTTTATCATATTTCTACTGTGTTACGCAGTAAGGGTCATTTATGCATATTTTTCCCTCTTTTTTTGTAATTTACATGGGTTGTAAAGCTTTGTGCAGTGTGAAATTTAATTTCTTTGTTCATTTTACAATATTTAACTTTTTAATACATTTTCAAAATTTTCATGAAAATTAGCATGAATCTGGAGGCGTGCTGCTTTAACAGTTTAAATATTTGATGTAAATAAAATAAGAATCCCTGAAAAACAAATATAATCACATATCATGTAAAATTTAATTTTATTTTTTGTATAAGATTTGTATTGAATCATTATGGTACATGCATTAAATTAAACATCACACTTAAAAGCAGGGCTTGACAAATTTTTTGGGAGCAACTCGTCCTGCAGGGTGAGTAGCTTAGAATTTCTACTTGTCCTGCTGCAATATGTAGTTGTCCTATAGTTCACTAAAAACCACACAGTAGATTAGAAAAGATGACCCTTAAAGCGCATTAGTTAAAAAAAATTCGGCGATAGCCGTCCCTAGCCTAGGCAGTTTTATATTGCACCCCCCTCCCACTCCAAAGACCAAATGATAGATTGGACAAGACTGTAGCAAAATTTCGGTACACGGTTCACCCAGTCATATAATAGTGCATGGTGATATTTTACCTGTAAAATTCACTGTTACTATTTATCTGAACATGAAATAGTAAAAACGCTTTTCAGTAAACAATACAGTAATCGATTTATACAATTTAAAAGATTAAAACAGAATGAAACATCCACGTAGCGCTAAGTAACATAAATGATATTTTCTGTTTTTTTCTTTGTACCGATTTGTTCACTTCGATGTTAATTTTACTTTTCAGTTAAGTCGTATTTTGAAACGGAGCATGCGCAAAACAATTTTTGTAAACTGCTCCTAATGATTTTACGCTTTAAATGAGATTCGTTCACTACAATCAGATACGCAAAAATGGATGCCGCCAGCAATCAGTCTGAACACTGTGGAGAGGTCTGATGACCTCTCCAATTATGTCATCAATTGTGTGACACTTCGGGAACATGTGAAGATGAAAGTGTCAGTGTGTTAATTGGAACAATTTACGTCTTTCATTCTCTGACTTGGAGCACTGATAATTACATGTGTGGTCCACAGGTGTTAGAAGCGTACAGAGAAGTGAAAGATGTCCGTGATGTTGACAAACATTGAACTTAAGGTAAGTTGACTTGTCAACTGATTAAAAATAATTACAGTTTGAAGTATTAAATCGGATGACAATTAAAAGAATAATTTCACTAATGATTGATCTAAAGCCACTGTTTACTGCAATGTTAATATTTTCATATCTGAATGTAAAGTGCTGAAGTGTCTATTCACATGCAAACCCTATTAAAATAAACAATATTCTTCATTGTTAAAAATACTTAGTATCTATTTCATTTTTTGTTCTCATTGATTTTTAGATGAAGTCAATTTATAGTAATGTTTTTGTTTTTTTTATTATTTTGTATCTGTAGATCACCAGATTGTCGGGTAGAAGATCTTGGCTCAGTCAAGCCTGTGAGAAGAACTGCTATAGGCAAAATGGTGGAAAACAGGACCTCCCAACCTCATGACTAACTTAACATGATGTTTTTGATTACATTTATGTTGTCATGTGTATTTATTAAAATGGAATTTGAAAACCACATAATACTATGTCTATATTTTAGATAATAAACATGTTCAGCTGTAATAAAATGAATAATTATAAATATGTGTTTGTAATCATAATGATATATAACTGCTAGCATATCTAGGCACGTCTCCCTTGCAGAATTTTTGGCTCCAACTTTTTCTGATTGGCGAATTTGGTGGCGCAAACTAATTTTGACCCAGAGGGAACCCTTGGTTGGGATCATCATTTTCCGGTTCAATGATATTTTGTCAGATTCATGGCCCTTTAATGATTTTGATTTTTAAAGTTTGTCCGGAACTACTAATTCAATTTCAGGATTGATCAGTAGCTCAAATACATTTGCATATTACACGTGTTTTTCAATTGAATGATTTTTGGCTGACTTAAGGCCTTTGAATAAAAAATGCTGTTTGCCCAGTTAATGATTTTTAGCTCGACTTTAAAAAAAAATAAAAAAAATAGAGGTATTGTTACAGTCATGTTGGTGTTGCCGTCCACAAACATGTACTTTGATCATAACTTTTTAAGTTCTTGATGTATTGTCTTCATACAATCTATAATAATAATCTTCAAGGATAGCCCTTTAAAATAACCAGACAGACCTTGACCTTCACTCATAAATGACCTTGACTTTGAAGGTCAAATTATTGAAATTTTCAATTTTTGGCTATTATTGGCTGTAACCTTGTTATTTTCGAATGGATTGTCTTCAAACTTGAACATAATATGGTGAAATGATTAAAATTTTCATTTTTTTGACTGTAACTGGCTGTAACTTTGCTATTATTGAATGGATTGACTTCATATTATAACAGAACATTCTTAAGGCATACATGCCATAACATCCCTGATGTCTGGGAAAGTCCCGGAAATGAGGTATCTGTCCCGCGGAGATGATTTATCATTTATTAGGGTCATAATGGGGGGAGGGGGGTCATTGATTTTCCTAATTTGTATATAGTAAAAACTAAAAAAAAACTTCTTCTAAAAAACCAAAATAGCTGGAGCTTAGACATTAAGCATGAAAGATCTTCTAGTGGGTGTCTTCCAAGTTTATTCAAATAAAAACCCTGGGGTCAAAATTTGCCCCGCCCCAGGGGGTCATTGTTTTTCCCTTTATGTATATAGTAAAAACTTAAAAACTATTTTTTTTTAGAAAACCTTAAGAGCAAGAGCTAAGATATTTAGCATGAAACATCTTCTAAAGGGTGTCTACTAAATTTGTTCAAATAAAAGCCCTGGAATTAAAATTGGCTCTGCCCCAAGGGGGTCATTGATTTTCCTTATATGTATATAGTACAAACAAAAAAAATCTTTTTGAAAAACCAAAGAGCTTAGATATTTAGCATGAAACATCTTCTAGTGGGTCTCTACCAAGTTTGTTTAAATAATAGCCCTGGGGTCAAAATTGGCCCTGCCCAAGGGGGTTATTGATTTTCCTTATATATATCAAGTACAAAAAAAAAATCTTCTTGAATGAAAAATCTTCTAGTGAGTGTCTACCAAGTTTGTTCAAATAAGGGCCCTGGGGTCAAATTGGCTTGGCTGGGGGGGGGGGGGGGGGAGGGTCATTGATTTGCCTTATATGTACACATCTTTTTTGAACTGTTGTTTTCCCTTAGCAATAGCAAACAGTTATGATTTTACTTATGCACCATTTAAGATATTTAATATGAACTTTGTGATATCAGTTTAAGATTTAGGTTTTATATCTGCTTTTGTACAGTTTGCAATATTACTTTTTCCTTGTCATGGAGAGTTTTTCTATTCAGTTGAGTGATTTCTGTGCCATCATGGCCCTCTTGTTGTTAATTCTTACTTTAACCATGCTGTTATTTACTATCAAGCACTAAGGATAGCGGAGCATGCCCTATCCACAGCTCTTGTTTGTTGTTGTTGTTTTTCTTTTTAGAAATTTGCGCTGTGTCCAAAGTGTCATCAAAGAAGGAGATTGGGAGAGTGTTCAAGTTAATTTTGAAGACGCTAGAAACAAATGTTCAGCTCATAACAACAGGCGATTTTATGGTAATATTTTATCACATACTTTGCTTATTTTATTAATTATTTCAGTATGAAAATGCATTAAATACCAGTGCAAACCTATCTCAATTCCAATAAATATAACCCCTGACAATTTTGTCAAGGAATCGATTCTGTGGCACAGTGTTGACTTTAGCCTGTAGGCAAGAAAACATGGTTAAATCACACATTAATAAAATCATCATGTCATTGGATTACTCAACCAATTTGTGGGGGGTGGGCAGGTGCATACATTCAATCTTTAAATAAACTAAGGGACCAAGGTACATGTACTTTAAGCAGAGAGAACAATAGAGTTTATTCTGTAACACTATAGACCTGTTTGTGTTACATGTAGCTCCAAAAGTGTACCTGCCAGAAACATGAAACCTTTTAAGAATTATTAGCATGTGAATTTATATACCTACATATTTTGATACACATTTTTGGCTGATTCATACCCCCTGAATAAGCAAAAAAAACAACACAACAACATATTTAAGACCTGTGTTGTAAGCTATGTAACTTTCTAAAATTCTTGTCAGCATATGAACTTATGCACCGGGTATTTTGACACATTAATTTGTTGAAATTTCTGTAAGAAACAGACAAACCAAATTTTGACAAGATTGGCAGAGTTATACCGATTCTTCTTAAAAACCCTAAAATTTGAACAGAACAATCTTTTAGGATAGATTACACATACTTTGACCTTTACTCAAATGACCTTGACCTTGAAGGTCAAATTATTGAAATTTTCTTCTTCTTTTTTAGCTCACCTTGCACAAAGTGCAGGTGAGCTTTTAGGATGGCCAACCAAATGGCGTCCGTCCACATTTTAAATATTCTAAGGACATCTTCTATGATACCGCAAGGCCAATGTTAATGAAACTTGGCAGGAATACTCTTTGTATGAAGCTCTATCAAGATTGTTCAAAGAATTCCATTTCATGCAGAACTCTGGTTGCCATGGCAACCGAAAGAAAAATCTTTAAATATCTTCTTTTAAAGAACCGTAAGAGCTAGAGCTTAGATATTTGGCATGAAACATCTTCTAATGAGTGTCTACCAAGTTTGTTCAAATAAAAGCCCTAGGGTCAAAATTGGCCCCGCCCCAGGGGGTCATTGATTTTCCCTATATGCATATAGTAAAAGCTTAAAAAATCTTCTTTTAAAGAACCCAAAGAGCTAGAGCTAAGATATTTGGCATGAAACATCTTCTAGTGAGTGTCTACCAAGTTTGTTCAAATAAAAGCCCTGGGGTCAAAATTGGCCCCGGCCCGGGGGGTCATTGATTTTCCCTATATGCATATAGTAAAAACTTAAAAAATCTTCTTTTAAAGAACTGTAAAAGCTAGAGGTTAGATATTTGGCATGAAACATCTTCTAGTGAATGTCTACCAAGTTTGTTCAAATAAAAGCCCTGGGGTCAAAATTGGCCCCGCCCCAGGGGGTCATTGATTTTCCCTATATGCATATAGTAAAAACTTAAAAAATCTTCTTTTAAAGAACCCAAAGAGCTAGAGCTAAGATATTTAGCATGAAACATCTTCTAATGAGTGTCTACCAAGTTTGTTCAAATAAAAGCCCTGAGGTCAAAATTGGCCCTGCCCCAGGGGGTCATAGATTTTCCCTATATGCATATAGTAAAAACTTAAAAAATCTTCTTTTAAAGAACCCAAAGAGCTAGAGCTAAGATATTTGACATGAAATATCTTCTAATGAGTGTCTACCAAGTTTGTTCTAATAAAAGCCCTGGGGTCAAAATTGGCCCCGCCCCAGGGGTTCATTGATTTTCCCTATATGCATATAGTAAAAACTTAAAAAATCTTCTTTTAAAGAACTCAATGAGCTAGAGCTAAGATATTTAGCATGAAACATGTTCTAATGGGTGTCTACCAAGTATGTTCAAATAAAAGCCCTGGGGTCAAAACTGGCCCCGCCCCGGGGGTCATTGATTTTCCTTATATGTGTATAGCAAAAACTTAAAAATCTTCTTTGAAAAAACCCAAATAGCTTGAGTTTAGATATTATACATGAAACATCTTTAAGTAAATATCTACAAAGTTTGTTCAAATAAAAGCCCGGGGGTCAAAACTGGCCCTGCCCCAGGGGTGTCATTGTTTTTAACTATATGTGTATAGTAAAAACTTAAAAAATCTTCTTTTAAAAAACCCAATGAGCTAGAACTTAGATGTTTAGCATGAAACATCTTCTTATGGGTGTCTACAAAGTCTGTTCAAATAAAAGCCCTTGGGTAAAAATTGGCCGCGGGGGGGGCTATATACAGGTGAGCAACCTCAGGGCCATCATGGCCCTCTTGTTTTTGCTTTAACAGGACTTTGTTATTATTGAATGGATTGACTTCCTATTAAGACACAACATTCTTTATGATAATACCTTCATGTATATCAAACTAAAATTGACCTTGACTCATTTATTGGGCCTTGAAGGTAAAATTATTGAATTTTCACTGATTTTTGCTATAATCTGCATCTTCGGACCCACAAGGCCCAAAGCTTAGATATTTTGCAAAAGGACCTTTACCATGATTGTTCAAATTAAAGCCCTGGGGTTAAAATTGGCCCCTACCAGGGGGGGGGGGGGGTAATGTGTTTTCCTTATATGTATATAGTAAAAATGTTAAATTGTTTTTCTTCAAAACTACAAGGGCTAGAGCTCAGATATTTAGCATGAAACATTAAACCTCTGTAACATGATTTAAATTATAGCTGGCCCCTCCCCAAGGGTCATTGATTTTCCTAATATATATATAGTGAAAACATAAAAAATCTGCTTCTATTATACTATAGAGGCTTTAGCTTAGATATTTAGTATGAAACATTATCTAGTAGACCTCTACCAAGTTTGTTAACCAGGTTTTCAATGAAAACCGGATTATTGTAATGCCGAAGTTGGCAACTTTGGTTTCAGCTCAATAACTTGAGTTTGCTTAGGCCTATTGACACCAATCTTTGTTTATAGGTTGCTAATATCAAGAGGCAGCTTGGGATTGCTACCCAGGTATCTGTGATCAAGGTCAAGGACACTGTTGCTAAACAGTAGAAATTCAGTTTCTGATCAGTAACTTAAGTTTGCTTAGGCCTTTTGACACCAAACTTACTGTATGGGTAGCTTATATTAAGAGGCAGCTAAGAATTGCTACCAAGGTGTCTGTGCTAAAAATAGAAATTCAGTTTCTGCTCAATTATTTAGTTTGCTTAAGCCTATTGACACCAAACTTGGTAAATGGGTAGCTGATATCAAGAGGCAGCTTGGGATTGCTACCCAGGTGCCTGTGATCAATGACAAGGTCACTGTTGCTAAAAATAAGAATGCAGTTTTGGCTCAATAACTTTGAGTTTGCATAGGCCTCTTAACACCAAACTTGGTGTATGGGTAAGCTTATTTCAAGACGCAGCTTGGAATTACTACTCAGGTGTCTGTGATCAAGGTCACTGTTGCTAAAAAATAGAAATTCAGTTTCTGCTTAATAACTGGAGTTTGCTTAGGCCTATTGACACCAAACTTGGTGTATGGTTGGGATAGCTATGCAGGTATCTATAATTATGGTCAAGGTCACTGTTGCTAAAAATAAATTTCAGTTTCGGCTCAATAACTTTGTATCTGGGTAGCCTATATCAAGAGGCATCTTGGGATTGCTACCCAGATGTGTTTGATCAAGGTCACTGTTGCTAACATTATAAAATTAAGAATCTGCTCAATAACATCAGTTTGCTTTGACTTATTAGTCCCCTACCGGTTTACCGGAGGGGACTTTAGGTTTACCCTCCGTCCGTCTGTCCGTCCGTCCGTCCGTCTGTCCGTCCGTCTGTCTGTCAGTCCGTCCGTCCACAAAACTGGATCCCGCGATAACTTGAAAAGTACTGAAAATATTTTTATGAAACTTGGTATATGGATAGATGGCAGTATGGAGATTATGCACGTCTTTTTATTTTCTTCCTATGTTGAAAATTCTGGTTGCTATGGCAACAAATAGGCTAAAAATATGGCAAATTTTACACATTAACTGGATCCAGTGATAACGCAAAAAGTACTGGAAATTTTTTTATGAAACTTGACATATGGGTAGATGGCAGTCTTGGAATTATGCACGTCTTTTTCTTTTCTTCCTATGTTGAAAATTCTGGTTGCTATGGCAACAAATAGGCTGAAAATATGGCAAATTTTACACATAAACTGGATCCAGTGATAAAGCAAAAAGTCCTGGAAATATTTTTATGAAACTTGACATATGGGTAGATGGCAGTGTTGAGATTATGCACGTCTTTTTCTTTTCTTCCTATGTTGAAAATTCTGGTTGCTATGGCAACACATAGACTGAAAATATGGCAAATTTTACACATAAACTGAATCCAGTGATATCTCAAAAAGTACTGGAAATATTTTTATGAAACTTGACATATGGGTAGATAGCAGTGTTGAGATTATGCATGTCTTATCTGTTCTTCCTATTTTGAAAAAATATCAGTTACCTTGGCAACAAATAGGCTTAAAACATGGCAAATATAACAATATTTGTGATTAGTCAAAAAGAGCTGAAAATTTTTATGAAATTGCATCTTTAATTCAAGAGTTATCTCCTCCTGCTTTTAAAATGTTATATTTTGGTAACAGGGATGTTTCAAATATTAACTTTAGAGTGTCCTTCAGTCCGTCTGTCTGTCTGTTCATAAAAACTGTTTCCTGTGATCACTTTTAAAGAACTTTTCCAACAAGTTTACTTAAAATAGAGAAAAGTTGAAACATAAGTGAATGGCCAATGGCCCTTCAGAATGTTGATGGGGTTCTTACCGGTAGGGGACTTATGGATTGCTTGCAATACTATGATAATTGCTTGTTAACACAAAAATTAGTATGTAGGTAGCTTATATCAAGTTACTACCTTTTTTAGGCTTCAACTGTTGCTAAAAATAGAAATTAGGTCTCCGCATAAAAACTTGAGTTTGCTTGTGAACAAGGTCAAGGTCACTGTTTCTTATAAA